CTGGTTTTTTTGGGGGGGGGGGGCGGGTGGGAAGGGGGTTTCCTCCCAAATAATAGTTAGCAACTGAAAACCTTGCATTCAGAAACTAACAGTTGACCAAAAAAAGCCTGACAATTTCTGTAGGGTAAAAAAAAGAATAATACATCAATATTCTTCTGATTTCTTTTCAGCTGGCCAAAGAATTGGCTGCGCTGGGTGAAAGCCAGCTGTGTTTGTTCAAAATGTTTTCTGTTCTGTGAGCTTTGCTCCAAGTCTCCCAACAGCAAGGCTGTGATTCTCCTGGAGGACACATCTCCGAAAAAGCCGTGTACCATCTGGGGGTGGAAGTGGGAAGGTGGCAGCATCCTGTCACAGGGCCACTCTTCCCTGCACACCCAGTGAGATTGTCACCATCTGCCCCAGAGACAGTGCCCGTCAGTGTCCCCTTGGAGGGCACATCAAGGGCATTAAAGCCTGATGGGTTTTTGGGGCACAATTTTGTTCTATTTTCCTCTCTGAGCCAGCCATGTGTGGGAGGCAAACACCCCATGGACGGCAAAACCACCCTCTGGGCTACCAGCAACCTCCAGTTCTGCCCACCAAGCCCCTGTGCAAGAAGGACAGGGGGCACAGACCTGCTCAGAGCATGAGCAGCCCCCCAGAGGGAAGCCTTGCGGTGGAGCTGTGCCCGGGGTGCACGGCCAGTCCCTCTGTGCTCACAGCCCGCAGCGCATTGAGATGGCAGCAGTCAGCTGCCAGAATTAGCTCTGTCTTAATTAACAGCTTTGCCTTTGTTCTCAGATGCTGCTTCAGGCGATGCCAAAGCCTTTGTGGAAGATGAAGATCTGGGATCCCAGTGAAAGGAAGCGTCAAGACTTATCATATGGTGAGGCACAGATCTCCTTCTCAAAACACCCTTGTAACCACCTTTGAGAGCAGAGGGGTCACAGCCTGTGCCAGTCCCTGTTCATCCCCACCACACTGGCTGTAACAGGACCAGCTGAAGCACAAACATGAATCCCATCAGGCCATCCTTGTGTATCTGGTGCCAGCAACCATGCTACAAGGGAGGCTCTGGGGGGGTCACCCTAACCTCTTCGAGCTGGGAAGCAGCAAACCCATGCTCTGGGAGCCTGACATCCTCCTGTGACAGTAGGTGAGGGGTGCCCAAGGTTCCTGCCCTGCACCAGAGCTACCACCCAGCTCAGACTGGGAGCTCACTGGGATGGTGCTCTTGGTGGCAGGAGAATCCTGTGAGCCGCTCACTAACGCAGGAGCGGCTCAAAACACGATAAAGGTCAGACAAACCTCCCCTGCATCAGCCTCATGGAGCAGCAGAGCTGGCAGAGGACACAGGAGCCTCCCCAGCCAGGACAAACACAGAGCTAAAGCATCCCTGACACTTCCGGTTTATTTTCCAAGATGAGACCAGGCCTGCAGGGAGGGCAGAAAGCTTTTCACACAGCGCAGGAGCGCTGCTCCTGAATCCCTAATCCTGCCAAGGCAGCACAGACTGCTCCCAGCAGCTTGCATGTGCATTAATTGTAGAGGAAAAGCCTGCACCTACAGCATCCTCCCAAGAGTCAAAGCCTGAGGAGCTGGTAAATCCTCTCCCTAATAAGAGAGGCAGATCCCTTCAATATTCCAGCATTCCAGATTTGTCTGGTGTGCACCACATAACAAGAATCAGGTGAGACAGGTAACAAGGGCAATGCTGGCAAGCAGCATCCAGCCCCTGCAGCACCTCCTGTACAGTTCAACCCCTTCCTGCGAGTCCAAATAAATGTAATATGATGTAATAACATTAATTAGCAGCATTAAATGCTCAGTGTATTCAAGGCACAACTCAGCCACTTGGCACAGTGCAGCCCAAACTGCTTACAGTTCTCCCAGGGGAAATTACCTCAGGGAGACTTCTGGGCTTAAATACCATTGGGAAGCTGAAGGGACAGAGGAAGGGAGAGAAGTTATTGTCCTCTCCAGGCATTTAAAGAAAATTCAGGTGTCTTATCAGAGCAGAAGAAGCTGTAGGAAGGACAACTCCTTTGTCATGTGAACAATTTGTGGACTAAATTGAAGCAAGACGTGAAGAAAAAGTAGGTGAGATGAAGGTTAATTTGGCAACCAGAGTGAGAACAGAGGGAGCTGGGGTATGGAAGAGTCTATTAATTCCCTAGGCAAGAGACGCAGCCTGAGCCAGGCCACGGAGTAACTCCTCACACAGTACAGAAAGATAAATTGCAGGTTCTGCTGGTGGAATATTCTGTTTATTAAGTTCCAAAATAGGAGACAGTCAAGTGCCAAGTGCCTTGAGCTTCTCGGTGCCTGAGAACATATTAATCACTGGTGGGAGCAGTGTTCAGGCAGCTCTGGTGTGACACCAGGCATCATGTAACAGGATGGGCACGCCACATCCCCCCCTCCACACTGCCACAGAGACACCTGCTCCTCTAGCAATGGACAGCAAAGACAGATAAAGATCAGCAAGTTCCTTTAGGAGCAAAAGAATTCACTTTGTTTCATAGATGGTGCAATTTCTGCTACTTGGCTTTTCATCTTAACTGGGTTTTTCAGGGCAGTTGCAAGTCCCAGCAGAGTTGCCAGCCATGGGACAGATCAGCCATGCCACTTTCTCATTTTCTTTTTCTTGCTAGCATCTCCAGGTGGAAGGATCTCTTTGTTCCCTTTGAAGGCAGAGGACTAACAAAGGCAAATGCAAAAGAGAAAAACAAAAACTCCTTTGTCTGAGGATGGATGACATCTTTTTATCTGTTTCTAATCTGGCTTCAACTTTCATTTCTTTAGGAGGGAAAAAAAATCCAAATATTAAATTTTATGCCAAGGCAAGCTATAATAAGTGACAGAAACACTCCATCTCTGGGTCTCTGCTAGCTCTGTGAAGTCAGAACTCTCACAAGGAAGAAAGCAAAATATAGACAGACAAACACTTTCAATGGAGATTTAAAATAAAAACTCTCCTCATGTTCCAAATGCAAAAGCTACAGAAAAATATGTCGCTCCTCCAAGGAAATTTCATTATCTTGAAGCGAAATGCAATTTATCTTTGGAAGCTTTAAAAAA